ATCCAGGAGACAGTGGGGAGCAGGTATGCGATGAGATGAAAACGTGTGTGAGGAAGAGCATCCCACAGCATCCCATCAGGCATCATGATTAATCTTCCACTCTGTGCCACAGGAATCTTACCAAGGTGTAAATCTGACCATCATGCCCCTGCTGAAAACACTTGCGGACTACCCCCGCCCTCAGGAAAAATGTTACACTCATCCCCATCCGAGCTTGGCGATCTGGCCCTGCAGACTCCTCTCACCTCACTGCCTTCCCCACACATCGATGGGCTTTCCCTTAACAGTGTAGAAGTCACCGGGCTCCCTCCTGTCTCCATGCTTAGGGGCCAGGACTGCACAAGCCCTGTATTCTGTGCCCCTGGGGCTCCCTACACCTCTCCTTGGGGGAACTTTCCAAAGCTTGCTCTCCCATGTTTGAGATATATCTGCTCAGTGCTGACCGCTGGACTGTCAGCTGCTGGTGTCAGGGCAGGTGTATATTTCATGAACTATTGGGTCTGCAGCACCCAGCACACCTGACACCTGGATGAATGAACCTTGAGTAGGTGGAGGCAGGCGGAGCCTGGGTTGAGGCTGGGCATGCCACCTACCTGTCCTCTGACAGAGCCCCATCCAGTTCAAGACTCAGCCTCAGCGCCGCCTTCTCAAGCAAGCCTCGCACATTACCCTTCTGTTACATGTTCTTTCAGCTCCATGTACTTTTCCTTGACAGTGTGTATCCAAATAATAATTAGCTATTTGTGGACTCACCGATACTTGTCTGGAACAGAGGAACCCACATTTATTGGGTGAGATGTTCTATGGGCTGTGAATGGCAGGCAGGTATCCTCACAATCACTCCACAAGGTACTGTTATTCCCACTCTACAGAAGGGGAAACTGAGGCACAGAGAGGTGAAGCAGAAGGTAGTTTAGCAAGTTGATGACCAAGTCAGGATTTGAACCCACACCAGCTGACCCCAGAGGCTGTGCTCATAACCACAGAGCCACACGGCCTCACTGCGTCTCCCTCCATCTGTCTTGTTCACCAGTATGTCCCAGTACCAGACACCAGCCTGACACAGAGAATACAGCCTATCCCAATATTCACAGAACCACGTTTGCAAACTGGCCTGCTCACTAAAATGTATTTTTAACTCCACATCGGTCTTCTCGGAGCTTTCATGGTCATTGGCAGTCACGCCCAGGGTGGTGACAAACAGGATCACCTAACATGCCCGTTCCCAGCAGAGGTCAAACAAGGTGACACTCTGCCTTCTCGCTTCAGTACTCAGACTTAGATTCATGTCCTTTCACGCGTATTTAATGCCATCTTTTTTTGCTTTTTTGTCCTTTTTTTGGTGATCTTGCCATGTCAAATGGCTCCGAGCATAGCTCTGCAGTGCTGTCCTGTGTTCTTGAGCACAGGAAGGCTATGACTCACGTGCCTTATGGAGAAAACATGTGTGCTGGACAAGCTTCATTCAGGCGTTAATCACAGTGCTATTATCCATGAGTTCCGTGAATCTGCAATGTATTGAATGAGGTGTCTTTAAACAGAAACACATAAAACGGGTTATGTTTTGTTCAGCTGATGAAAAAGTTGTGACCAGAGGCTCCCAGGAACCGAGCCCTGTGTTTTCCCCCAGGAGCAATGGTTCAGCACTGCTCATTCAGTGTTCACGGAGACTCCAGCACAGGGACCGAGAATAACCAGAAACTACTGTACATGCTAAATAGCGCTTCCGTGAGCAAGTGGCAGGCAGGTTGAAGCAGCTGGGAGGGCAAGCCAAGCATGGATGAGAAATGTCCGAGGACCCGGCCCATCTCCCTGTCCTCCCCCCACCCAGGGATCAGAGTCACCGAGGTGGACTGGCAGCAGCCGAGGAATGGCACTGCCCATCACACCGAGGAGTACCCGGGCCCTGTGCTGGTCGTCCGCAGGGGCCAGAGGTTCACCTTCACGCTGAAGATGAACAAACCCCTGGAGAGCGAGGAGACCCTCGTCTTCACCGTGGAGACAGGTACCTGGCTGGCCAGCGCCCCCTGATAGTCTGCCATCGGAAGGATGGGTCTTGTGACTTGAGGCCTGAGACGCTGGGGTCATCAGCCCGGATTTCAGGGGGAGCAAACCCCTGTAGGCAAGCTGAGCCCCACACCCTGGAGGCTTTGGGTAACAGCCTTCTGGGGATGGCTGGAAGGCGCTGCCAGCAGGCAGCGGGACAGGTGGGGTGACAACCTTGGAATCCTGTGCCCACCAAGGAGGCCAGGGCTCCGAGAGGCGCTGGAAGTTTATCAGGCACTTTGGAGCTCAAGCTTTACTTTCCTGACCAGACGTAAGGCAGACTAGGGTTTCAGGGAGTCCTGTTACGTTCTTTCTGACCCGGGAAGTGGGCACGAGTCGGGACAGCTGAGGCGGACGCTGCTCTGCCACGGGCCCTCTGGCGTCTCGGTCAGGTGCTTCTCCACATCAGTCCCAACAGCTCAGGGGGCAAGAGTTGGCTCCACAGGTCTGTAGCGTTTCTGCTTCTCCAGAGCTTTTCTGCCTGGTGGCCACTGGGTCTCCTGATTCCCTCTCCTCTCTGCCAGGACCCCAGGCCTCTGAGGCCCTTCACACCAAGGCTGTGTTCCAGACAACAGAGCTGGAGGTGCACGATGCCTGGACGGCTGTGAAGGAGACTCAGGCGGAGAACACCATGACCGTCAGTCTCATCAGCCCTCCCAACGCCGTCATTGGCCGCTACCAGCTGAGCACCAGGGTGTCCTCTAGCCGCAGAAACAGTGACCGGAAGCTGGGCGAGTTTATTCTCCTTTTCAACCCATGGTGCCCAGGTAGGAGCTCCCAAATCCAAGGATAAGGTTCTCCTGGAAGCTGTCCTTCAGGAGGGACTAGGAGGCAGGTTAAGGGACAGGGAGGCAAATGCCAAGGGCTTGGCAAGAGCCAGGCCTAGGTGGAGGCCAGCACTGGGCAGAGGAAGCTGATAGCCGGTAGCAGGTGCTGCAAAGCAGTCTGTGCCAGAGGCGCAGGAATTGCTGGGTGTATGGAGGCCAGTGGGCCAGGATGGGGCCTAATGGCAGGAGAGGCCAAGGAGTGGGTAAGAGCCAGGTTTTAGCCATCAGACAGCTTTGGTTTAGTCCCAGCTCTGCTACGTTGCTTCCCTCTATGAGTCTCAGTTTCCTCATCTGTCATATGGGAATAATAACAGTGCCTACCTGTTAGTGTTGAGGTGAGAATTCATAGAGCTAATGCTTGTAAAATATGACACACACCACAAGGAGTACTGGGGTCGGTGTTCATATTAAGGGGTGAGTCAGTAAGCAGTAGCCTAGATCAGTATTCTTACAAATATCTAAGAACTATGATGCTTCGGGTAACATCCAGGTGGGTCCTAAAATCCCTCCATCTTGGGCTGGGTTGGGGACCCCCGGCCTGGGGAAAGGCCGGCCAGGTGGAATGGGGCTTGGCCAGGAGGCAGCCTGGGAGCCTACAAGCCCTTCTTGCCCTCTCCTGCCTGGGTCAGCCTCTAGGCGCAGCCCCTTCCTCAGGCCAGCAAGGCCAGAGCCCTTGCTCACACCGAGCCTGACACTGCCTTTCAGAGGATGCCGTGTTTCTGGCCTCAGAGGAGGAGAGACAGGAGTACGTGCTCAGTGACAGCGGGGTCATCTTCCGAGGCGTGGAGAAGCACATCCGAGCCCAAGGCTGGAACTTCGGGCAGGTCTCCTGGGGCACAGGCCAGAACGGGGGCAGAGGCACGAGAGGCAGAAGAGGGGCTGGGGACACGAGAAAAGCCAGCTGCGAGCTCTGCTGTCTGCTCACTTCTTCCCAGCAGGGACAAGCTGGGCTGACTCTTAGAGCAAATCCATTCATCTGCTGTTAGCGGTGCTGGGGCCTTGGGAAGAGGGGTGGGTGTCAGATATAGTTTGGAAACAGAACAGGTCAGTTCTGTCCTGATAAAACAAACAGCTTAGATTAGGGGCTTGCCATCTTGAGTGTGCCCCGAAATCCCACCGAGGGCTCGTTAAAACACACAGGTGGCTGGGCCCCACCTCTAGAGCTGCTGATTCAGTAGGTCTAAAATGGGGCCTAAGAGTTTATCATGTTTTAAACAAGCCCCCAGGTGATGCTGGCCTGGGCCCACACTTAGTTACAATATAAGGTGTGGTGTCAAGGGTCAGAGGGGAGGGGTCAGACTAAGTGCAGAAGCAGAGGGAGTTCAGAAGAGGCTAAAAGAAAACCCTACCTCTGGGATTGCAGAAGGCTTCGTGACATTGGGGTTGAGTCCCCAAAGTTGGGCAGGATCTGGACTGGCAGAGGGCAGTGCAGAGAGCACAGTGGAGGCGGGCCGTCGGGGGTTAGTGGAGGTTCTGCTAGAGGGGTTCCGTCTGCCTGGGCTCTGGGTGCCTGACCGGAAGAAGGTTGGCCAGGCAAGTCAAGAACCTTGACTGTCAGGCTGAGGAGCCAAGGGTTGAAAGCATCCGGGGCTCAGTGGCCACGCAGGGATGATATGCTGGAGAGTTTAGGGTCCATCTAAGGGGTAACCCCATCTCAGCACCCACTTCTTACTGCCACACAGGGAAGTGAGCCCAGGGGTCCCAGGCCTTCCACATTTTCAGAGATCAGACACCTTAATTTGTATCTGAAAATACCCCAGTTTTGAAATGTTGTCAATTAATTCAAATGCATTTGAAAAAAAATCACAGAAACCAGTCGAGCATACCAGTGGCCCCACAGTCACCAGTTTACCCCGAACTTCACTGTGGTTCGTGGGGAGACATGGAGGCTACTGAACAGGAGAGGAAGGTGATTAAGGCTGAGCTTCTGGCTCCCGGTGACTCTCTGAGGGAGGGTTTCGGAGACTTGGGGGTGCTCTGTGGTGGGGGCTTGGGAGGTAGACAAACTCCCCTGCGTGACACAAGTGACTGACTGGGGGAGGGTCGCGGTGAGAGGGTCAAGAATGTGGGTGAGGCTCTGGCTTCTAAGAGCAGCGTCTCTGGGGACAGTTTGAGGAGGACATCCTGAACATCTGCCTCTCCATCCTGGACCGAAGCCTGAGTCACCAGGCTGACCCAGCCACCGACGTGTCCCGCCGCCATGACCCCATCTACGTCACCAGAGCCATCAGCGCCATGGTGAGGAGCCCTGCCGTCCCTGCATGCACACCCCATCGTGGACCCCTGGGCCAACCCCAGGGCCACACCCTGTAGTTTTTCCCTGGTCACTTTTTGTTTTAATTCTCTATTGCTGTATAAAAAGCTACCACAAAACTCAGTGGTGTAAAACAGCCATTGATTATGCTGACAGTTCTGCAATTGGGCAGGACCCTGTGGGAAGGGCTCATCTCTGCTCTAAGATGCTTCAGCTGGGGGTGTCTGAATGGCTGCTGATGTCTGCAATGGTTTGACGGGACCATATTTCTAAGGCATTGGTTCCGACAGTCAGTGTTTCCTTGGTTCCCTTCCATGCCATGCCTGCTGGAGCTGGAACATCCAGGTGGCTTGCTCACTCTCATGTCTGGCCCCTGGAATGGGACGGTTGGAAGAGCTAGGGTTGGCCAGTCATCATTCTGTCTTCCCTGCAGCCTTCCCACATGGCTAGGTTGGGCTTCCTCACAGAATGGCAGCCTCAGGGTAATAGACAAGGCAGCTGGCTTCTCCCCAAGAGATTATTCTGGTAAGAAGAAGGAGAAGCTGCCAGTCTCATAAAACCTGGGCCTGGAAACAGGCCCAGCATCACTTCCACCATGGTCACTGGTCAAAGCAGTCACAGGCCAGCCCAGACTCAGGGAGAGGATACACAGAACCACCTCTCTGTGGGAGAAGTGCCATCTTTAATCTGTTACATGCCAGTGCTTCCTCCTCAGAAGGTAGCCAGAGGGCCTACTAGCTCTCTCTATTGCAAGTAGGTGTTCAGATCAGTGGGTGGGAATCTGTGATTCCCAAAATGGACAAAGATGGGGTTCTTTTCATATTTGATACTCTAAATTCCTCAAGACCTCAGAAAGACGTTACAGCACAACGAATCAAAAGCAGTGACCAGTCCCAGACAGTAGGGAGTTACAGGCTGCCAAGGCAAGGTTCTAAACTTGTGGGTCACCCCTTTTGCTAACTTGCTGTGTGGTTTGGGCAAGTTCCTTAACCTCTCTGAATCTGTTTCCTCATCTATAAGTAAATAAATAAATAAATAAATAAATAAATAAATACCAACATCATAGACTTAAAAGATTAATATAGTGTTTACTAAGCCCCTAGAATAGTGCCAGGCACACAGTAAACATTTAATGAATGTTAACTATCTCTGTGATTATTATTACTACCAACAGTCCCAAAAAAACAGACCACTTAAAACAGGAAATGTTCTAAAACCATAGATGATTTTCAACAATACAGCAGCCGAATGGAAGGTAATTGAAAATGCTAATTGGTACCAAAAAGAAGATATTTTAAGATAGCAGATGGCCCCAATTTTCAGACAATTTAAAAGCAAGGGATAGCCCCGGATGATTGGGTGGCCCAAAGCTGGAGATGATTTTACGATGGTGAGGTTCCTGAAGAGGAGACCCCTGCCTGGTGGTGAACCCGTGGCCTCCTCTGCCCAGGTGAACAGCAACAATGACCGGGGCGTGGTCCAAGGCCAGTGGCAGGGCAAGTATGGCGGCGGCACCAGCCCACTGCACTGGAGCGGCAGCGTGGCCATTCTGCACAAGTGGTTCAAGGGCAGGTTCAAGCCAGTCAAATACGGCCAGTGCTGGGTCTTCGCTGGAGTCATGTGCACAGGTACCTGGGGAAAGAAGGTCCCCACTCTCGGGCCCACTCAGTGTGCATTCATTTGCATATATTTGCATAGACATCCCACCCCTTCAAAAAATCTTTCTTTATTAGTGATGGGGAAATAGAAATCTAGTTATGAAGAGAGAAACCAGATCGCTCATTTACATGGCTTTTGATCTTTTATTCTGCAGGAATCCTACCACCTCCAGCTCATTCTTGGGAGAGTCATTCTTGGGCCCCCAGTCCCCTAGGGCTATTATGGCTACTGTAGGGCCATTCTGTGGCTTCTAAGGCCCTGCTAGTCCCAGAGCTGGTCTATCTGAATGACGGTGGAGGTGGTGTCTCCAGAAGTCAGTCCCCTGAGAGAACGTACAGGAGATGGAGGTGTTTCTGAAAGTGGAGACAGGAGTCTTGGTGCTGGCAAAGTGAACAGACCCAGACAGGGAGGGGGCTGTGGCCAGAAAAGAGGCAGGAAGCCTGTGGGGGAGTGGCCAGACCCACCGTTCCTGAGTCAGGGGTCCCGACCTGTCCCAGAGCCTCATGAGCCTCCTGCTCTTCAGTCCTTAGGTGCTTGGGGATCGCGACACGAGTTGTGTCCAACTTTAACTCGGCCCATGACACGGACAGGAACCTGACTGTGGACAAGTACGTGGACTCCTTCGGGCGGACGCTGGAGGACCTGACGGAAGACAGCATGTGGTGGGTCCTTGGCCACTGGGTCCCAGGGGCTCCCTGAGGCTGACCCACATGTGGAGTCCAGCTCTACTGAGTCTGAGCCTGTTCTGGAAGGAGGGAGAGGCACCCCGTGGAGGGGGTGGTCCCGGGTAGGGTGACTCCTCTTCTGAGATACAAGGGGTCTTTGGACACATGACACTCAGAGGCCAAGAAGTGGGCTCAAGATTTGACAGCCTTGTACCCTCAGTTCTCCCCTGAGGGCCTCTGAGCCCTCCCCAAGACTCCTGCGACTTGGATGTGGGGGTGGGGTTCCCTCCGCAGAGCTGCCTCTGTATCTGGCTCCTGCTCTCTGCCAGCTGCCTGTGCGACGTGCTGCGTCTCAGGTGGGAAACAAGCTCTTTTCTCAGCTCGAACAAAACTCTTCACACAAAGCTTTACACGATTAATTCTATTTTTTATTTTTGAGTGATTGATTGATTGATGGAAGTGTAGTCAACTTACAACATTGTGTCAATTTCTGGTGTATAGCACATTGCTTCCGTCATACATGAATATATATTCATTTTCATATTATTTTTCACTGTAAGCTACTACAAGATAGCGAATATAGTTCTCTGTGCTATACAGTATAAACTTGTCTATCTAGCAAAATTAATTTTAATTTAATTTTTTAAAGTAGGAGACACAGTCATATGCTTTAATATTCAAAAGGTATGAAATAGGTTACCGCGGTAAGTCTCCCTCCCGCCCATTTCCAGCTTCCCCGTCCTCCTCCCAGACGCAACACTATGACTAGTTTCTGACACCTCTTTTCAGAGAGAGGCCCTGCGGATACAGAAGCATACATACTTACATCCGATTTTGCCCCACTTAATACTGGCTGCATAATGTAATACTGTTCATCTTGCTCTACATGTAACAATTCCCTATCAGTACATACAAGGTTTCCACATTTTTATAGTGTTTAAAATAGTAATAACATCACACTAGATGAGCACCTAGTCTACACCAGGTCCAGTTCTGGGTGCTGTGCAAGCAGGCTTCCCTCATTTTATTTCTCTTTGTTTTATTGTGCTTCACAGATGCTGACTTTTTTCACAAATTACACGTTTGTGGCAGCCCTATGTTGAGCAAGTCTCTCAGCACCATTTTTCCAACAGCTTCATTTTTTAGTTAAGGATGTACATTT